GAGATGCTTGAGATTCCTCTCCCTATGACCTTGGACCTCCTCACTCAAGTCTTCCATCACAGTTACAGAACCCAGGGGCAGCCCTGGGTTTTCTGTGACTTGGCCAAAGCTAGGCGCCATTTTGGGAGGGGGTTTCAGAAGTGGGTTCTGTAAACATCTGTACCCATTCTACCCTAAGCAATGCCTTAGCCTGATGTATGAGCCCAGGCTGTGTGGGTATGTATGTGCATGTGTGCATCTGTTCTATTGGCCTTTATCTTTGTTAGCACAGCCTAAAACGTATACTTTCCTTCGTGATTCATGGACTAGGTTGTAAGTCTTTAATATATTTCAAATACATTATTCCAGTATATAACATCTGCTGAACAAAACCAAGGATGAATTTTCCTTCTCTTCCTTAGGTGCTGAATCTCTTTTTGGCCTTGCTCCTGAGCTCATTTAGTGCAGATAACCTTGCTGCCACAGACGATGATAATGAAATGAACAATCTCCAGATTGCAGTGGCGAGAATTGATAAAGGAATAGATTTTGTAAAAAGAAAAATCCGTGAATTCATCCAGAAATCCTTTGTCAAAAAGCAAAAAGCTCTAGATGAAATCAAACCTCTTGAGGAGCTCCACAATAAGAACAGCTGCATTTCTAACCATACAATGGAAATTGGCAAAAATCTTGATTATTTTAGAGATGGAAATGGAACCACCACTAGTGGCATAGGCACCGGCAGCAGTGTGGAAAAATACGTGGTAGATGAAAGCGATTACATGTCATTCATTAACAATCCAAGTCTGACTGTGACTGTGCCAATTGCTGTTGGGGAATCTGATTTTGAAAATTTAAATACCGAGGAGTTCAGCAGTGAGTCGGATTTGGAAGAAAGCAAAGAAGTAAGATTTTAAATGCTATTAATGTACATGGTTTAGGGGATAAGAAAATTTCTGAGAAGAGGGTGTTTTTCAGAGGTTAGACAGTGTGAAATACTTTAATGCAAATGGATTAGAATATAAAATCTCCCTCCAAGGAATCCTTGGAGAATACAGCCATTCCTCATCTAACAGCTACCTCATTTTAGTGACCATTCGCAAATAAGATTAATTTTTTTAAAAAATCATTTTCCGACCAATGCGTGCCCTTATGACCAAATTTCTGTGCCTGACAACACACGCTGGAATGAGAGTAACACTGGCACAGCTGTACAAAAAGAACTTTATATGAAAGAGATGGCAGGAACCAGTGATCTTCACAGCATTTCTCTCTCTCTCTCTGTCTCACTCTCTCTCTCTCTCTGTGTATGTTATGTATATGCTCAGCAACCATTTCACTTCCAGTTTAAGGAACGGATTGCAGTTGCTAAACAAGGAGAGGGTGTATAGTAGTATAAAAGTATAGTAAGTAAATGAAAGAGACTATGTAAAATGGAATCTACCATCTTTTTCACTAGTAGTGCTCCTGTAAATCCAATCCTGTTACATTTCTTATACCATAATCCATTTTAGTAGGATTTGCAAAAGTGGCTATTACAAATATATCCTGTGAAAATGAAATGTTTGAAATGCTAGCCCAGAGATTCCATCTGCATTTGGGCCATCTGATTCAAGAAAGAGCACCACAATATTTTGACAATACCCAAGTTAATAACAATACCTTAATTTGTTACAATCTAGTGACGAAAGCTCTGTTGAAAACTATATTGATAAGCTTGATATGTCCTTTTTTTGTATGATTCTAGCTTGACTGAGGATGGGATCACAGAGAGAGAATGTGTGGATATGAAGGCCTGCCACTACATATATGAACAACTTAGGAAGCAAGTGTATGCCTCTTTCTTTCCAAATGTGTTCCCAAACTAAGTTATCTTTGACTGTTTTTTGGGGAGAAGCACCATGTAATTTGAGAATCTGGACATTTTATGCAAGGACGTCATCTAGCTGGCTTAGTTTGGTTGGTGTGAACTGGTTGTGAATTTTTTTTGGGTCTTCCTGGCTTCTTCCCGAAGTGCATCTTGCTGGACCCTGATACTGAGTTATGAACCCCCTTGAGGCAGCCCAGCTGCTGCTTCCCCTGAGCCTCTTCTACTTCTTGCAGGAGGAGGATGTCTCATAACAGGAGGCCAGCATGCCGCGCAACTTAGAGTAATTGTTCATTAGGTTGCAAAAGAGCTTCCACTTCCCTCATTTTTAAGTGTGATATGGGAAGGGGGAAGAAATACTGTATAGCTGGTCTTTTGTGTTTGCAAGTGAGTGGGCACAATCTGATGGTTTATCCTTGGATCTGGTTGTTGCCTAATTTAGATAATCTCTCTGACTCCATGTTAAAATGTACATTGTATGTGAGCAGAAGCTCTGATACCTACCATGCTTATGGGATTCTTGACATATAGGCAATGTATTTGCAGATCCTCATTTTACTTGTATTATTGCAACAATTTTCTGAACTATCAACTTACTCAGTTTCAGTTTATCACCAGTCTTATCTCTCCTACTGCTCTGACATCCTGCTTCCTTGTAGAATGCGAACACCTCATAAGTGACACTGAGAAGTAACCAAATTGAATTGTGAATTATTTCTGTTTTTAAAATCATTAATACATGTGTAATAACTGAGACATTTCAATACTACCATCTTTTCATTTTCCAGTGCCTCCAAAGTTGCTTGAAACCAACCTGCTATTCTAGGGAACATGGTAAACTCACTATGAGCTAATCCATCTGACCAGTAAGAAAGCACACATACGAAAAAACATAATTTCCCTCTCCCTACTGCTGTTGGACTATAGAAACAAAAATCCCCTCTCCTTCACTCCATGCTAAATCTTTATCCCCTCCACCTCATTTCTATGATGAGAAGCTATGTGAGGGATGGTAGTTAGTTTTTAAAAAAAATGACCAAGCCACCTTGTCACCATCACCACTCGCATATAATTACATACCAATATCTAATTACACTATGTTAGAAATTTTACAGCCATGTGTTTCCCCCAATATTTGTAACTATGATTGTGTGCTGCTGTAGTGGCTAGAGTAGTAAATCCTCAGTAATACAGGCAACCTCCAGGAATTCCACTTCAAAATGCAGCCAGGGGTGATCCAGGTTGTTTTATTTGTTTTCAGAGTCTTGTGACTTTCTCCTTCCACAACAATTCAGACAAGGCAAGGGCTATTGGGGTAGGATGGGAGGTTGAAACTGATCAGAATTCTCCTGTTTCCCTCTGCTTTTTGGCATGAGACTGAAGGTGTGCAAAATACCAGGGCTAATTTATTTTTTTCTAATGAAGCTATCTTGAATTAGAATGGCTTGCTTCAGTCCAGGAGCTTGGAAGTAGGAACAGATATGAGTTTCCACCAAAGGGAGAACAGACAGTCCACAAACTCCAATATGACAGACTAGCTGTGCTCCCATTTCAGGAAGACCAAAAATGCAGGCTCCACTCTTGAAATCATCTGCTCTGACAGGCCCAGGGCCAATTTTGCACTAGCACCATGTTGTGTGGGTGGTTCCCTGAGTGATATCATGCAACCTATTAAAATCTATGACAAAGTATTCCATGACTTTTAATTGTGGTAGAGATCCATAATAACATGAATACTTTAAAAAAATGACTACTGCAGTGTGAGAGATCAGAATATTATTAATTTTTTTAAAAGTATGGCATACTTCGTAGTAGAAAGCCAAAACAACGAAAAGTCTTATACCACTTTATAGGGCTTTATAAAAAGCTGTGTGCTTAGATGTTGATTATTTCACAGATCTGATTGCAGCTGTATTTTCCATCTTCTGCTTCCTGTTTAATTTGATTCTTTTGTATCTAATTTCTCATCTTTATGAGAACACAAAAAAAAGAAACTCTGGATGATTGGACAGAGACAGAAAATGGTTATCTAATCAGCTATTCTTTCTTTTCATTTTCTCTTCTCTCCCACAGGCATTTATCTTCAGTTCTTTTGGGGTTACCATGAAAGTTTTCACCAGTGATCTTCCTCTCTGATTTTATTTGAACTCTGTAATTTTTGTTTCCCTTTCATATTCCACCTTTTACTTCCTTAGTCCTTAGTCCTTTCACTGGAATTAATGCAGTAACCATTCAGTCTACCACATGCTTTCCAGAAGATCTCCAGTTTGATAAGTTTCCTTCTTTCTGTGCTTCCAAATGTTCTATGTGATATTCAGTCATCATCAAATTCAGACTGCCACATTGTTCTCTTGTGACCACCTCACAGAAATGTTCCTATTTCTGGTTAATGTTTATTATTTTTCCAAAGAGACCATATAACATTTTAAAAGGACATCTAATGATGGCTGGGCTTTTTTGTATCTGTATTATTTTAGAATGTATTAACTACATTTTTTTTCCTTTAACAGAAACTCAATTCTTCTAGCTCATCTGAAGGAAGCACAGTTGATATTGGGCTCCCTGCTGAAGAGCAACCAGAGGCAGAACCTGAGGAAGCTCTTGAACCTGAAGCTTGTTTCACAGAAGGTCAGGGAAGATTAAGTATCCAACATTTTCGTTTAGTTTATTCCTAGAAGACATACATTTGAAAGGAATGCAAATCAAGTTTTGTGTGTATATAGTTTGGTGGTTAAGATGTTGGATTAGGAGCAGGGAGACCCAGGTTCTACTCTGCCCAGCCACAGAAGCTCATTAGATGACTCTAGGCCAGTCACTCTTTCTCAGCCCAGCCTACTTCACAGGCTTATTGTGAGTTAAAGTCAGAGATGAAAGCACTTCGTAGACCTCCTTAATGAAGGATAGGATATAAATCATTAAGTAGATGGAAAAATGGAAAAATCGTCATGAAAAGGCTGCAGTTCATTGTCAGTCTTAGATCAAGAAATGTAAAACATTTTTTTTCTCTTTTAAATCTTCTTAACATTTAATGCATTTTAGGTTGCGTACAAAGATTCAAGTGTTGTCAAGTTAATGTAGAAGAAGGAAGAGGAAAACAATGGTGGAATCTCAGAAAAACTTGTTTCCGGATAGTTGAACACAATTGGTTTGAAACCTTCATTGTCTTTATGATTCTTCTTAGCAGTGGTGCTTTAGTAAGTGAAAATAATAAATCTTAAAAAGAAAAGTTGAGGGGGGAGGGTTATTTTGTAAATGTAAAAATATTTGCACTTTTCTAAAACAAAACCAAATGAAATATATTTTGGAACTGGAAAAGCATTTGAATGGATAACATCCTTTATATTTGGAGGAGGGGAAGGTAAAATTTTGTGGCTAGATTAAAATAAATATTTTTGCCATTGAGGACTACACTAATGGGTAGTGCCATGGAAGGGCGTTTCTGCCATTGCACAGGTGTATTCATTTCTCACCTGAAATCAGCTATGATTATTTGCAGTTTCCAACCAAATCTGATCATGTGTAATGTAATCTGGGAGTGTTTTGAGAGCCACAAAAGTCTGATGTTATACAAAGAGATCATTCCATTATAATTTGTTCAGGGAATGGAAGTCAATCATAGTTATTGAGAGATAAAACAATTAATGAACTTCCGTGGATAGGATGTGTTTTGACCCAGCGGAATGTTCAAGTTTGTATAACAGGAAAGAAGGAGATTTCAAAAATTTGCCAATTATATTCCCCTTGTTGTCCTGAAGGGTTTCCCCTCCCTTTTTGAGTAGGTTTTGTGGGGAGAGGAAGGAGGAGGAATTACAGTATAAGACAGACCTGCAATTATAGTAGCAGATCTGCCAGTGTTGTTAACTAAGTCATTGTGAAAATCATCTTTTTATAACTTGGACCCAGGTTATTATGGGCTATTAGTCTTGAAGACTAAGTGTTACCTCCCTGACTGAGGTCAGCCTACCTCCAAATACCAGTTGCATGGGGACATGGTAGGAGAAGCGTATGTCTCCATCTCGTGCTTGTCAGCAGGCCAGACAAATCTGGTTGGTTATTTTGTTATTTTGTTTCTAATAACCAACCAGATTAGACCATCATTTTGTTTCTAAGATGGGCCTTGGCCTGATTCAGCAGGGCTATTGTTGTACTCTTAGATTACACTAGATAACACTTTGGTCTCTATGATCCTCCTATTCCAGCTTGTTGTGGTCATCTGAGGAGGTTTACCTATTGCTCCTGTGGGCTTATATCATAGGGCCTCAGGGATAAGCCTTCTCTGTAGTTATACCAAGTCTTTGATTATACTCTCTGTGATTTTAGAAGCTTAACTTTTTTGTTTTTGAAAAGGCCTTAAAAACTTGCTTGCTTGCTTGCTTGCTTGTTTGACTTATTTATTTATTTATTTATTTGATTTATATAGCCCATCTCACAATAATGACTCTGGACAGCTTACAATATTTAAAAAGCAATGTAAACAATGTAACAAGTAAAATCTTAGACTTTTACTTAATAAATAATCTTAATTCATTTTAATATTCTTGATTTTAATTTGGTGTTTTAACTTTTTATTGTCCACCTCCAAGAATATTTGGTGGTAAATGTAACAAATAATCATAAACAGTCATTATAACAGTGGATTTGGATTGCCAGAATTAGTGCATCCTACTTCTTCATAGAAAGAAATCATTTAAGTGATTTAAAAATAGCAGCCTGGAATTTATGTTATTTCCCTATATAGTTAAGACTAATTGATCTAAAACATTTGTACAAAAACGGAAGAAATATAGGGCTTGGTATTATTTTTTTAATTTAATAGAAACTAAATCTTGGGTACCATTTACAGGCATTTGAAGACATATACATAGAACAGAGGAAAACTATCAAGACCATATTGGAATATGCTGACAAGGTCTTCACTTACATATTCATTCTTGAAATGCTTCTGAAGTGGGTAGCATATGGATATCAAACATACTTTACTAATGCCTGGTGTTGGCTGGATTTCCTGATTGTTGATGTAGGTATCCCACTGTCTAAGTATTATCTATGTCCCCAAGTAGAATCTGCAGTAAAACTTCACATACAGAGTAATCTTTTTAGGATTTCAGCCAGCTAGCCAGCTACTCCGCCATGCCTTCTTCCAAGATAGTCTGTTAAAGTTCTTCTTTGGTTTCATCCACTTCCCAGGTTTTCTACTTTCTCTTCCTGAGCTGCTCTTTCAATTAGTTTATGGTTTCTACCCCAGTCCTGCTATTTGGATGGTATTGTTTGGACTACATAACAATCTACACTCAGACAGAATACATTTTCTATTACTATGTAGGGTATTTTTTATTAAGCTCTTTTTAAAAATTGCCACAACTTGTTCCCTTTTTAACACTTTATGTTGTTGTTCACTTTGATCAATACTCCTTTGGAAAACATGATTTCCATATAGTGTTTGGCACTCTCAGGATAGCAGAGTCAATGATCAGAAAAATGGAATCCCTCCAAACAAGTTATGAGAATAGTCAGAGCCTATGTAACATTTCCCTAGAAGCCCTACTCAAGCATTCTGAATCCACAAGTCCTGCAAGGAATCCAGGGTCATTTGGGTGATGGGCAGGGCCACGGCTTAACCAATGGAGTCACATTAGCACTCCAGTGTATATAATGCCCAAACTGGGGTATTGAAAGGCTAAAAAATGATCCTGGGATGCTATTTCTTTGCTATTTTATGTCAGTAAAATAGCACCTGAGTATTTTAAATACATAATGTCCTACCATAGTGTTAATGCTAAGAGTCCCCTCAGATTTCAGGAATTCAGATCAAAGCATTCCACGTGCCCTTTTCAATTTATGAAGAATAAGCATGGCCTTGTTGACAATAGAATCTATAACAAGTTAAACATAAATTAATGGCAGGGGTAGAATTCAATGCTCTTTTTGTGGAAGTTGAAGGAATCAGTTTCCCCTCTCCCATTGTTCCCTGCTTCCTACAATGCCTGTTTTTAAGAGAGATCATTTTATATCAAATGTTGGAAGGGTAAGGTGCTTGAAGGAGGAAATTAAAATCATCATTTCCACTTCATCATCAAGGCATGTTCTATCAGTGGAAGTAGCATACTGGAATTTTGTTGAATACTTACTAGTAGTGCATATTTAATTGCAAATAAAGATTTGCCAGATTTTAAACGTACTTATTTATTTATCATTTATTTGTTTAAAAAATTACTTAGCCTGCTTTACTTCATTAAAGTAATCCCAAATAAAATGTTATTGCCATGCTGGCAGTGTAGCACAAGTGTGTTGTTACCGAGCTTCTGCTAATTGGAGTACACATACTAAACCATAATGTGTGAACTCAACTGTTGCAGTTTGCTAACAATGCATTATTGGCTTAATAGCTTATATGAACCCAGTCATAGATTATTTAATACATCTTAATTTAAAAAATATATAGTTTAGCAAACTGCACTAGCAACCTATTTCTCACATCCCACATACCCGAGTACAAAGCTGATGCTGAAGGATCTCAGGTTCATGGAAGAACCTGATTATCTTTTGGACAGCCCTTGTTTTATAGTTCCTCCAGACTGCACATTGCTAAAAATGCTACAGCTTTAAATACAAAAGGATGATTTTATTCATCATTTTTTCACCCCCACAGGTATCTTTGGTTAGTTTAACAGCAAATGCGCTGGGTTATTCAGAGCTTGGTGCCATTAAATCCCTTCGGACACTGAGAGCATTGAGACCTTTAAGAGCCTTGTCAAGATTTGAAGGGATGAGGGTAAGACAAAATGAGAAGAAGCTTGATCATATATAAAATGCATGCCTAAGTCTAATGAACGTTCCATGCATGTCCTGTGGAGAATGATCAATCCATGCAAAAGTGCCGCCCTTTCATACAATTGCAAATTTATCGGTAGTAAATAAGCAAAAGATTTCATTAGCTAAATATAAGCCTTTTTTAATGCTACGTATTAGCCAGGTTTATATTACTTTACTTTCTAGCCAATTTGAGGAGTTTGATCTTAAATATATTTAAGCAGATTCGCTAATAGGAACTTTAAAAGTTAGCCAATTTGGTTTGACTTCTCCTGAATATTTTTATTTCATGAACATGGTTTATGCCACGCAACTGTTTAAAACAGTATGCTGTTCTCAAAAAATCAAAGTATTGAAATTAATAGGAAAAAAAACTGTTCTCATCAAAATTAATGGAAACACACACAGGCTACATTTAGGCTTTCATTCAGCTCGTCACATTTGACTATCATCCGTTCTCCCAATAAGATCGTGTCTCAGTTTCTTTACACTGAACTATTTAAATATTAGTTGCATTCAAAAGTAATTATTAATTGTGCTATACGGAGATATTTTTATAATCTTTAAATGTATATGATCTCATTAATTGGATTAAACCTGTTAAATGGCTAATTAACCAAACAATTCAATTGATTCTTTTTTTCCCACACTAGCTAATAATTCTCAATAAAATAATTCCAGCATTATCTACACAAATCATGCATTATTATTCGGTTGCTTTCTGGGTAAGTCAGGATCCTGTCTTAATTCCTATCTCAGAAGAGATTCTTATGCTTTATCCCTGTTTTCTTGTCTTAAAGTTAGCAGTTGAATTTGTGACTGTACTGAAATCAGTAGTGAAACTCAAAATATTTCTGTTGAAAATATGAATTTACCCTCTTCATACAACCTGATTCAAACTGCATGTTGTTCAAACGTTATTTTTAGAGAATGTTTTTGCCACTTCATGGAAACATAAGAGGAAACAGCTTTTGAATAATGATAAAAGAACCTGTGTAGTGAAATGAACAGCTAATAATATGCTGTCTAAATAGTACTTAGATTAAAAAATTAAAACAAAAAAACACCAATACATGAAATGAGATTCAGATAATTGGAGCTCATTTCCTCAAATTGTATCCATCAGGTTGCATATCTTTTCTTCAAAATTTCTAAAAAGAAATATTGTAAATTGAAACTGACTCGATACATGAATTTCAGGTGCATCTAACCACCCCTTAATTTCAACAAATCCCTTTAAACAAGAAATTCATGAATTGAGAAGTCAGCAGTGGAATAGGGTAAGAGCTGGTCAATTCCTGTAGTGTTCACGAACATTCATTCAGTTTTCAACTGACTGTTTGGTTTATCCATGTTCATACTTCTTTTTCTTTACTATTCATGAACATTCTTGCAAATATGTTTTTGTTGACACAATTGTTTGGGAAACTGTTGTGCTTTGTACTCCTTCCTAAATAATCTTCAGGAACGGCAGTGATGCTTAATGTTCATGTAATACGTGTACAAGAATATAGCAATATGAAAAATTACTTTAATACATATCTGGTTCATAAGATAGGATGTAAGAATGCATTTGGTTTCATCTTTACATTCAGAAACAATTTTGCTAGTTAATGCTTTCTAGAAGGAAAGGAGGTGTCATATGTACACAATGGTATCAGTTATTCACCATTTTCTGTGGGTCTTCCTCACTTAAAAGGTTCCTCTCATTGAGTCAAGGTGCAAAAAGGAATAAAATTTGATTCTAATGATATCATTGCAGCCAAAACTAATGAGATATAAATCAGGGATGAAGTCTGCAAAGAATTTACCAAGTCCAGAGCACTTGGCCAAAATTTAGAAAGAATACACATTCACAGAAATCAGTGTATCTGTTAATGAATGATTCGTGAACAGGAAACAAATTCATATAAACTACTGAAACACTTAACTGACCAGCTCTCTGCGGAGTCACTGATAGCTACTACATACCTTTCCCCAGCAGCTTTATTCTGAAGGGAACAAGGGAAGAATGGGCTGGTGGTGGAGAAATAATTCATGCAAATCATTAATACCTCTTTGCTCTCTTCAAGGGGAGCAGTGGTTCAATGACATACATCACAGAATTGGGGTTCGACTATTATCTATGCGGCAACAGATTGTGGAGTGAGAACATCTTTAGATATTAGGTACTAGCAGTTTTCTATTTTGGGGAAAACACGAACTCACAAGTTCTGCTGGTCTTTTACTCCTAGAATGCATCAAAATACTTTTTTTTTTCTGCAATGCAGCATACAGTCTGGTGCTGAATGTGGGCTTGGGGAGCTCTGATGCCATGATAATTCAAGAGCCAGATAAATCTGGAAGCCCCATCAGACTTGAGTTGCACTTACATACTAAGCAAATTTACAGCTTCAAATTCAGGAGATGTCTTATTATTTGGAAGATAAAACACAGCAATGAAAATTGTTAAGAAACTGTAAGAAGTGTAAGATTCTGAAGGAGCCCTTATAAAGAAGGCTATAAGGAAAATGCTTGTAGATAGATTTTGAGATAAGTGGCATTCAAATGAAAGTGAAATCTAGCATCAATATTATTCTATAAATTATGTTTTTAAAAGTATTTTGTTTCTTTTAATTAATTGGCAGAATGGGTGATAAAGAATTTTAAACAATCTTTTCCATATGATTTAAATTTTTATTTTGAGTTGTTCCCAAGTATCAGGTTCTAGTTTTCACATATTTGCATACTTACATTTAAATGTGGGACTTTAAAATTAACATTATATAATTTCTCTGTTCAAAAATTGGTAAAAATTATTTCTACGCAGAAGACAACCCCAAGGCCTAAGGACAATGTAAGTCTGTGACATATGACTAAGTTCTTTTAATATTTATAAAATACCTGTTCATAGACAAAAGAAAAAAAATCACTAAAATACAATATTTTAAAAATTCATATCTGTTTTGTTATTTTATAATTATTCTAATATATTTAAAAGTAAATTTAAACCACTGTAACTCCACATAGGTGCTGGAAGGCAAAGTAAATAGCTACTTTTTTATGGATTAAATCTGCTATAGATTAAGAGTATTCTAATCTCAATGCCAAATGAGATTTGGATATGCATATTGCTTTCTATTTATCATTCTTAATATTTACTGTAATATAAAGTTCTTGCTGTAGTTCAAGTATGTTAATGTTAACATAGAAAAATCAGTATCAATATCCATTGCTTTGCTAAATTGAGAGGATTGATTTTTTTATAGCAATAAAGCATGTTTTTATGTGTAAACTCACTGGAAGAGAGCATGTTATGCCGTGCTTGATACCTTTCTCTTAGATCAATAAAGCAGAAAAGGTTTTTTAAAAAAATTAATCCACCTTGCAGTTTTAGTTTTGCATGTCTTACGCACATTTCTGGCTGATTGCTTTAAAGTTTATCATATTTCAAATTTCCAGTCCAGCTTCTGAGACAGTAATATTAAAAAGAAATTTGTACCCTGAATATTATCTATACAATTTTATGTAATTCTGCAGATATACTAAAACACACTTTACATTGATGAAGCAATGACTAATTGGCAATTAACAATATCACAAATGTTTAGTGTTTACAGGCCCAATTATTAAGTATTTATTTTTTATGAACGAGACATACTATTAATTTTTCTCAACAATTGTTTTTCCATTACTTGTTTTATACTGTATAAAGACAAGAAAGAGGAGAAACACAATTAGGATGTTAAAATCTATGAAAGACAGAGATGTCCTTCCATATACAGAAGACATTTTCTGCTTTGGTAGGATTGTTTCATACCTAACATTAGAGTGTTGTATAAAAAAAGCAAAATCAGACCTGGTTCACATTTCAGACTGAGGTGATGTTTGGTGGTTTGGTTTTAGCTTTATATAATATGAACTCAGCCAAAAGTCATGGCTAATGCTTTAGCATATTTGGTGAACCCAGTAGGTCATGGTTTATTCAGTAAACCATGGTAAAGCTATATTATTTATTGAAATTTATTGGCCACCCAACTCTAGTGGACACTGGGCAGAGTACAAAATTTAAAAAAACATTAAAAACAGCAAAAAACATTAAATCAATATTAAATCAACAGGCTATAGTTTTGTGTGAAATGTGGCCCTATTAACCATGGTAATGTGTTAGTAGATGTACAAATATATATAGGACATAAATCCTTCTGTATTTAGTAGACACAGCAAATGTACACAAAACTGCAACTCAATCCAGTGTGCCATTTCCTTTGTGTAAATATTAGCCCAAGCAGAAATATGGGAAATGTTGCATATTCATAACTGTTGCAAGGAAGAGACGTATGCCAATCAATAACAATTTTTTTTTCCTCAGACTCACTTTTATGTTAGCCTGATTTAGTGATAGTACAAAGCACTTTTGCTCTCTATCTCTTCCTTCTATTGAAAGACTATACTCTGGGAAATCTTTATAACTTTTGTACCTTTTTCATATTTGATTTCCTAGAGACAAATTCCCTCAAAAATTTCATGCAAGTAAAAAGTATTTTTAAAAAATGAATGTCTTGCACTGAAATTGCAAACAAATTATAATTACAGTAACATTAACAGCAACAGTAATAATTCACAAGCCCCATTGAAAGTAATGGGATATTAATATCAGTGGATCTTGTTAATCATTGCTAAATCAAGTCCCGTAATTTTCAGTGGTCTAAGTGGAGATTCAGACATTGTACTTTTTCAGGCAATAAGGTTGCAGTCTTAACACAATGTACTAGGAGAAAACCTTGATGAATTCAGCAGTGCTTACTTATATAGTCTACATGAATATATACACAATATATAAAACATTAACACCTATGGGGTTTTTTTTCTTTTTTAGTCATGTTTTGTTAGTCACTTATGAAACAATGAGCATTTAAACATATGCAAAGGCCAAAGAAATCTCAAATGCAAAGTTTAAAGTTTAACCAGTTCTACTACAGT